AAAAACAGTTCGAAGTTGACTGTCTGATTGTTATCAGTTTTTGGGATGGTTAATTAAACTATTATCGGATAAGAAGGAGAGACTTGAAAAGCTTCATGTGACACTACACTAAAGGTTTAGTTACGATTTGGGATAGATAATTAAGTATCGATGGCATTTAATGAAATATGATAATTTAAGGAAATTTGTCGTTTCGATGGCGTTACCAGAATCATGTGCCTCTGTTTCGAAGTATCCATCGAAAGATTCTCTCAGAGAGAGATTCAGAATGTTGCACCAAAAACGTGTGAGTTGGAATTGATATTTTAACACAGTAATTAATTGTCAATCTGAGCTCTTTTGAATAATGATCAGCCGGTAATGTGCAAAAAAGTGAATTTAAAAAGAAAAACAGTAAAATCGGATTGCCCAAACTTTGAGTGTCTTTTAATTCTAAAAGCTGCAAGAGTGTAGTTTTTCCGGCGAAATGGATCATACTTTTATTTTTTTAGCAAGAATCTCGTAAACTGAACTATGAACAAGTGGTAGAAGAGGATCATAGGTCGAAGTTGCCAAAAAATTACGATTTAAAACGAAAACGTCAAGAATGGGAGCTGAAGCAAATGGAATTGAAAAAGGTTTGATCGATCTCCTATAGGGAATTTGCCAATAACAATTATGTCGTTGTATTCATCAACTTAGGGAAACAAGATGCACAAGTTACACAATTAACTGGAATTTGAACGGTACAGAACCTATTTCCTTCTAGTTTGCTATTATTTGTTTCATGAGTGACCTTATGCCAAGAATATGAGTGGTTTTCCCTTCCTTCAGATTTCTTTGCAGTCAGTTTGTGCGGGCGGTGTTGGCACTCCTCTAATGTCTCTTGGACACCCTTTTATCGGTTAGATTTGATTTTTGCTATGAAACAGGTTTTGTTTCAGGCTGCTGAAGATCGGGGAGAAGATTATGATAGGTTACAAGCCCTGAAAACACAGGCCGATTTGATCGAGCGTAAGGAGGCGGTCAAGAGAAAGAAGAAGCCCGACAAAGGCTTCAGTGGTGGGTTTCCTCAGAAAAGTCGTAAGCAGTGGTGTTGGCCGCATTTGTAAAGCATAGGATTTTATAGATCTTTGTCGACTGATCTGGTTGTCGTGACTACTGAATTGTATATTCCAGATTACGAAGCTATGACTCTACGTCAGTATCAGAGGCTCTCTGGAAATATCAAGCCTGATATAAAAGCATATGAAAAAATGCGAGAAGTTATGTAAGTATTTTTTCTATTGATATTTTGATAAATTGTTAATGCTATTTCTTGGTTAGATCTCTTACACGGATCTCCATTGGAAGATTAGAGAAGATTGTAGTTATATAGTTTGACGGAATTAAAAAGCAGTTTGAATGTTTTGTTCTAAAATTCAAGCTAACGTTTAGAAGAATGAGAAGTGAGTTCAATCAATGCTTCTAACCATTTATTTTTCGGTTTAAAACAACATTTAAGACTTTCAGTGGCGCCAAGGAATTCTATCCTGGAGTGGACACACTCATTTCTGGCACTCATTATCCAACCGATGCTGCCTTAAATAAGCTATCAGAAGATATCAAAGCACAGTAAGCGGGTTTCTCCAACTTTTTTTTTACTTCACTTTAAATCTGTTGACCTTCATTTTTAGTTTGAAGGGATTCTACGCACCTCAAATAGCTTACCAAAAAACTATGAGTGAAGTAACTGTTGGCTCTTATGGTTTATGATAAACAGTTACAAATGAATTTAACTTATCACCTATTTGTCCTGCGTTTCCGATTATATGGAGATGTAATCTCATTTCTCATCGTGATCATACTCTTCAGAGAAAAGAAGCGTGATCAATACCATCGTCGGCGAATGTTTGATCCGGATGCACCAATTGATTATATCAATGAACGAAACCGTAAATTCAATCAGAAGTTGGATCGTTTTTACGATAGGTATACGGAAGATCTTAAAAGTGATCTTGAAAGAGGAACTGCTATATGATTAGGGTTATCGCTTTTATCTTTTTCAATTTTGTTTGCGCAGAATATTCGGTGATATAATTTTCATTAGATTGAAACGTTGCGCTTTACTCATATCATATAACCAGGTTTGTTATACCTGGATTTGTAGAGCTTACATTTCTGATATTTGTTTCATGCTAATCGAACTGATATTTGCTTCATGCTAATCGAAAGTTTTTTTCTCCACTTTTATTTAAGTCATGCGTTAATGATGTAATTCTGTGAAGATATTGGTGATTATTATTGCTATCAGCATCATTTTCCGTTGTCGAAACCTGTTTATTGCTGATGAATCCAAATTAACTGTCATTCCTACAGACATACGATTGGTGCAGCAAATAGGTTGTAAATATATGATCTCGCTTCGTTTGTTACTTAATGATTGTAACTCAGTAATCACCTTTTATTACCTTGATTTTTATAAAATGTTGAGGAAAAATACAGCTTGTATTTCGTCAGTAAACAGTTAGAGCTTAGATTTCGAGCTAAATTTGGCAGCCGTTACTGGAGTGGAAGAAACAGTTAAAGGAAAGTTGCATGATATTAGAGCTGGCAAATAAGCATTTCACTTTTTAAGAACAAGAAAATGCAAAAGTTATGACGAGTTTTTTTGATGGATTTGTGATGGATGGGTAACTTTCCTTGTAGCAGAAATAGTTTTGGCAGAAATTAAGCTATAGGAAGTGGGAAATGTAATAAGATTTCTGGCCTTAGAATACTACTGACTTCCAGATATGTGTATTGTAATCGGATGAGAGGGTCTGTCGAAAAATATCAACTCCAAGGTTGTACTGGGTCTTATTTGAAATTGTGCAGCTCCCCAATGACAGCTTTCATTTCCTTCTCGAATCTTTTCGCTAACTTTTACGTTTGGTGAATTCTTGAAGAATTTATACTGAAATTTATGGAGCAGATATGCGTTAAATGGTGCCAAATGATTTCTTTGAGTAACAGCAAACAATAACTTGTTGCTTTTCCCTGGATTCTGTGCCATATCTGTCAAGTATTCGAATTGTGAAACTAGAAACTTGGTCAACTAGTTTGGGGTGCAGTGAATAATCCTATTGGAATACATACAAATTGCTAAGTTCTCTTGGTTTGAGAAAGCTGATTCCGAAGATCAACAAATGGGTTAATGCTACGTGCCTGTGCGTAATTTCCGTCGATTGTTATTGGGGTCGACGAATTGTTTCCCAGTGACACACGGATTATATGGGCAAATGGATTGAGAAATGAAATTCATCGTGATATGTGTTACAAGACAAATGATAACGATGTCTGTGGGGTAATATTGCTGGAGATTGTTTAGTATTAGTTATAGGAGCTTATAGGTTACATTACACTTTTGCTTATTAAAATTTCACATTGAAATTTTTGAAAAGAGTTGAATTTCTGCTTACTTGCTATATGCTTGAAAGAATTACTGGCCAGTGCATCTGTCATGTTGGTCTCAAAGATTTACAGTATGTGGTAAACTGGATATATTTTATTCTATATTTGTTCGAAACAATATTCTTTTGAAGAATATTTGTCCAAAGGCGCAATATTCGTTCGAAGAATAGGTTGAAATTGGAAGAGAAAGGGAGATAGATGTAGGTATGCTGCATTTCACCTCTCATTTCTTCATTCCATGAATATAGAAAGTGCATCAATCGAGGAAACTTCTTCGAATTTTGGGCATTTTCTTAACTTGAATGTGTTAGCGATGGGCTAGTTTTCCATTAATTCATTTACTTTTCATATCTAGAAAAATCAATTTTGATTCGAAATCATCCATTTAAATCAAATTTTGTTCTTTTGAGTGGTTTGTGACAACTTAAATGTGATTTTATGTGAAGAAATTGTATCGTGATTGAGTTTTTGATAGATTTGCGGAATGTGGTATGATATGTTTTAGCACCAATAATTGAAAAGGAATAAGTGAAGGAAATTTGGGAATGAAATTGAAGATGATATCAAGTAGGAATATTATTACATATCAAGTAGGAATGTTACTAAAATAATATATTCCCATCGTCTTGCTAATCATGGAAAATGTCGAATTTTTTTTGATTGTTTAAATATTTGTTTATCAGAAACTAATTTTATTTATGCATGTTTCATTAGATTTCGATGCAAACTAACCTTAGCACCTCTACATGGCATCAAAATCTTGTCCAGTTTCTTTATTCATCGATCTACTGGTATATTGTTATTGTTAAGTACCGCTAGCGTTTGCAATCTTACTTTTTGGTAATTTGCCCCATATCCCTAAATCTACTTTTGAAGATTTTCCACATGTCTTTGAAGCATGGTTTGTTGGAATATATGGTATCATTGTTGTTAGTATCGTTTAATTGCGCTGTTTCCACTACCAGGGAAATTGTAAAAATATAAGCGATAGAAGTAGTTAGGTTCATACTTAGGACTCAACAATTTTTCAGAGAGATTTCCCAATGTCTGCTTGCCATCTTTTCCCTTTCCCTTCAAATTAAGTGAAGATTGTTACCCCTTCAATTCTCTACTCAGAAAGGAACCAACGGTCATAATTTGTAGCGCAAAGGTAATAGAGCTGAAATCCTATGACCACCGTTATAGGATTTTTCTTCATAAGGCGTGCTGTCCTCCAGTGACAATCTTTTAGCTTCATCTTCGTTTTCTTCGTCTACCGATAAATGTTTACACTTTTCCAATCAGAAATTAACCAAAAAACTTGAATATGTTTCCAAGTTATGAAGTCAAGAATGGTACCGAAGCTTGTAGTATTGGTTATTGTCATCCTGTGATTCTAGGTCAAGAAAGTAACCGATACAAATAACATTCCTAAAAATGAACTAGTCGCAAATATTCTTGTGATAAAATTGGTCAACAATGGAATATTTGGAAGACATCAGAAGTCTGAAGGAGCAACAAAAGATTGCAAGATTCTTCGGCTCATCTAATTTGAAAAATCAATCAATGGAAATAATAACTGTTTAGAATGTTCTTATGTGTCAGTAATCTCTAATGATACCAAATAATACCGTTAAGGAGCGCTTTCCACGATTCAATCATAATTAAAGAAATTTAATAATAAACCTAACGGTAACATTCAATGAGAGCATACTATGTATAGAGCAATAAAATCTATATGATAGCACTCAATATGATCTGTACGGTAACACTCAGTATGGCATATATTTTAATACTCTTTTCAGGCAAATTGTGACATGCAAACACTCGAACCTATAGGACATTGGTACCTCAATTATCAACTGAAGAATGGTAAAACGTGGTATAGGTGGCTA